CCCTTTATCAGATGCAAGTACACGGTGTGATCTTATGGTGGATGGAGGAAGGGGCCTCCGTGTAAAAATAGTGAGGATCCATGTTTTCTAAGGCATTTTGTTCCCCACGGTTGTTCACTGGCAAGGATATGAGGTGTGGTACAACGGTGTTTCTGTTACCTTTACATGTCCTTCATATCACTCAACCTCAAAAGGCCCCCCCCAAATCGTTTTTAGGCTTTTTTCGGTTTTAAGGAGAAAAATCCAAGTCGAGCACCCGTGGGAAGATGGCAGGCAAAACACCTCCCTCTCTCAATCCACAACCAGCCATTAGTGTCTTTACAGGCCACTGTAATCAATGTCTCATAGATTCTTTGGTATACCAAAGGAGAAATAAATGTCCTCGAGCAGGGGTGTCAAACATAAGGTCCATAAGGGGAGCGGTGGCACAGGGGATTTATCCTCTGGTTACAAGTAACATCTGAGCTGAACAGAACTGCTGTCAGTTCTAGCCCCGCCCTGGTGTGAGCTACCAGCCTTGTCCCCAGCTCGCTGTCCACCCAGCGGTTCGAAAGCTTCGGCGAGTAGATAAAATGGGTACCACTCCTTAGAGAGGGTGGGCACACCAACCCCCCCCCCCAGTGGGGGAGGTGTTAGCCGGCGAACGGAATGTTCAGCTCATAAGATCGGAAGCCTAGAAGATCTATTTGGTATCAAGAAGCATGTAATGGGCTGTTCCGGCCAGGCGGTGGCAGTGCGGCGCTGCGACCCGAAGAGTCCTGGAGGAGAGAAAAAAAAAGCTGACGTCATCAAGCCAAGCCGAGTGGAAAATGCCGTCTGGAACATGTCTGAGTCTACAACTGAGCAAAAAATCCCCGTCAGCTGCAAACATGTGCGATGTAAAGATTTATATATATGTTGTCCTCCCTTACCCCTATGAATCATTGTTAGTCCCTTGTGAATGTGTAACTGTAAATCGCTCAGAGCCAGCACCAGCAGGATTGAGCGATTAATAAATTGAAAGATTATTATTATTATCCGGGGCTCTGATGCGGCCCGCAAGCAACTGGTGCAAAGGAGGGAGTACTGGGGGGAGTGGGTGTAGCCACTCCATTGTTGCTTCCCCAGATAATTTGATTCCCCACTCCTCCACTTGCACCTGCTGATGTGACCTTGGGTCAGTCGCAAGCTCTGCACAGCTGTCCTTGAAAAAGAGCAGTTTCTGTCAGAGCTCTCTCAGCCCCACCCACCTCACAGGGTGTCTGTTGTGGGGAGGGGAAGGGAAAGGAGTTTGTAAGCCGCTCTGAGACTCCCAAGTGAAGGGCAAGGTATAAATCCAATCTCCTCCTCCTCTCCTCCTCTTTTCCGTATGGCCTTGCAGTGAGGATACATCAACCCAGAGCTGCCCCTTTTTACAGTTTCTATCTCTGGTACCTGGCATTACTGTTATGTTTTCACTGTGTTAAATGCAATGTTAAGCTTGAGTTTCAGCCAGGATTCTAAGCTGGAACAATCCTATTGGCTAAAGGTAAATTATAACCAATCAAAGCTGGAGAACTGTGCTGGAGGGAACAGACCTGATTGGACTTTATTGTAAGCATACTATTGGTCCTTAACTATTCCTGGGCGTGGCTACACCAGTCCGGGATTGTTTAAAAGGGAGCTATGCTCCACTGTTTGTTGTTGTGTGTTCTTCTGAAGTTCCTGTTGTTAAATAAAGCTGAAATCACTTCTTCCTACGGCGTTGAGTCAATACTTGACAATTACATTTTTTTGGCACACATGGCCTGGCCGGACAAAGTGACGTTTATGTCAGAGCTGGCCCTCGTAACAAATGAATTTGATACCTCTGTCCTAGAGCATCCATTCTTTCTGGCCACTCTAGAACTTCCATTTCTCCTAGCCTGTAGGGTTCTCCTTGGAGATCAACAGTAATTCTAAAACAGAGGTGCCAAACTCAGTTGTTACGAGGCCCAGAGCTGACATAAATGTCACTTTGACAAGCTGGGCCATGTGTGTCATAAAATGTAATGCCAGGTATGGGAGATATAAACTTTATAAAGGACAGAGGCAAACCCAATTAATGATATTATTCTTTACTCAAAATACAAACATGCTTAAAATATTAACATTCTTCCAGTATTTCCTTATAGTATCTTCTTGATACCCACCCTCCCACTTACACCGCCCATTACTCATTAACACTGGGACACTATGCAGGGGCATAATGGACAGTCTTTGTCATCTGGCAATAAAGGTAATGACCAGTTGCTCGTGGGCTGGATAAGAGCCTTGGATGGGCCAATTTTGGCCCATGGGCCATAAGTTTGACACCCCGTTATAAAACTTCAGGGTCAACCTGACGTTGCACAACCTTACATTGGACCCATGGTTCTGTACCACTCTGGCACTAGGGAGCTTCAACTTTGACAAGCCTTTATTGGCATATGTATATACATACAATAGGAGATAAGGTTAAATATAGATTGAAAAATACAAATCCATATAGGGTAAAATTGGAGCTATGGCACAGAAAAATAGCATAAAGGCAGGGAGCATTGGATCCTTGATTTTCAGGATGTAATTCGTTGAAATAGAGTGGATCTTTGATTTGATGGTGGATGTGAAAAAGAATCAATGAAGATCTGGCTTTCCTAGTGTGGTGTACTGTTCAGAACGGCAGACCAGGTTCTGGGAGAGCCAGGTTTGATTCCCTGCTCTGCCATGGAAGCTCATTGGGTCAACCTTGGGCCAGTCACACACTCTCAGCCTATCTGACCTCAAATGTCCAGGTGGGCAGCCATGTTGGTCTGAACCAACAAAATGAAGTTTGAGTTAGGTTTACCAACCCCCCCCCCCCCGGGGGGGCGGAATTCCCCCCGGTTTTGAGCCCCGATTTCCGCTCCCGCGGAATCGGGGCCCGGGGGAAACCCCACCCCCGCGAGCGCGTCACCAGGAAGTGACGTCAGACGCTGGGGTGGGGCTGCGCCATTTGAGGGGAAAACAAAGAGTTTTCCCCTCAAACGGCAGCCATTTGATGGGAAAACTCTTTGTTTTCCCCTCAAATGGCGTGGCTCCGCCCCAGCGTCTGACATCACTTCTGGTGACGTTCTGGCGGCGTGCACGCGCAAAGCGCGCGCATCCCAGACCGGCTCCCGGACCTAAAGGACTCTCCCCCGCTGGTAGGAATTTTCTAGTTGGCAACCCTAGTTTGAGTCCAGTAGCACTTTTAAGACCAACAAAAGTTTAATTCTGGTATAAGCTTTCTTGTGCACGCACACAAAACCTTATATCCAGAATCAGGGGTCATTTCGTAGAAAAAGAGCTAGGGGGACTCATTAGCATAACTCATTAGCATATGCCACACCCCCTGACATCACCGGAAGTGTGTCCTCCCCACAGCCGGCGACGACCTCCAGCGGGCACCAGCAGGGAGCTCCAGGCCCCGCCCAGGGTTGTTGTTAGGGTTGCCAGTTCCGGGTTGGAAAATACCTGGAGATTTTGGGGGTGAAACCTGAGGAGGGCAGGGTCTGGGGGCTTCCATGGGGTATGGGGGCCTTCTGCAGTGGCCATTTTCTCCAGGCAAACTGATGTCACCTGGAGATCTCCAGCCAACACCTGGAGGTTGGCAACACTAGTTGTTGTGCGGGTAAAATAGAGGGTAGGAGAATGATGTAAGCCACCTCAGGTTCTCGTTGGAGAGGAAAATGTAAAAGTGAAGCAAATAAATTCTGCCCTCCCCTGCCATGGTCCTACAAACATGAATCTCTGAATGAGGAAAATACCTTTTTAAAAAAAAACAACCGTGAGCCTCAAAAAAGGGACCCAGTTGGTCAGCTGTGTTGGTCTGAAGCAGTACAACAAATTTAGAGTCCAAGGGACCTTGAAGACCAACAAGGGTTTATTCAAGGTATGAGCTTTCGCCTGCAAGGCACGCTTTATCAAATACATTAGAATGGCAGGCAAGGTTCAAAATTATAGCCAGAGAATGGACAGCAAGTTAACAGGCACCATGATGATGATCAAGATGTGCAAAGTGACACTACATAGCAAGGTTATAAGGTCAACAGTTGTAAAGCAATAAATATGTCAAACTAGCAGAGAAATGTCTACAGTGTTAGACTATATGGTAACCAATGATATTCTCCCGGCTAAGCAGATTTACCATAAATGGTTATATCTATAGAGTTTAGCAGGTAAACTCATATTAGTGCTCTTGAGCTGTATGGTGTGTGGACAGATATCAAATTGTTAGTAATTATCTTATTTGCTTTATAGAACCAATAAGTATGTGTCATATGCAATGCTTTGTACAAAAACAATAAAAAGATTTCACACACACAAAAAAAGAAATGTCTACAGGTGTCTTTTCTAATTGTGGGGAATCTGGGAATCTTCATCCTCTCCTGTCAGGCGGGGAGGGGACTTGACCCTACCTACATCCTCCCAAAATGCTGCTATGTCAAAAAGGGAGAGGTGCAAGACACCCCACGCGCTCTCAGCGCACT